CAAGTGCAGAATTGTGGAGTAGGTTGCCCTGAATCACGAGAAGGGGAGGAGGGGGGGTGCAGAGTCTGCTATGCGAACTACTGTCGCGCCAGTGGCAGGGCAGTTCTACTGAATTAGACTGCACACTAGATGATTGATTCTGCGAACTTGAACTCTGAAGGTGGCTTTTAACGATCCACGAACACCTTAATGCTATTAGTTCATTGCCGAGTTCGTCAAGGGAATCGTCCAGTGAGACAGAACAAAGTACAGTGTCAGGGTGTTCTGGACGATGGGCGGAAAAAGAGCCATCCTCTGCCTTGAGGGTCTAAAGGTTAGAAGGGGTTGTAGACGCCTTACCTTTGTCTTCGTCTAAACCCTTTGACCCAGCAGGAGCCTACTCCTACTGGTTGCTCGCTTTTGGGTTACGAATAAGTGGGCACCTAGCAATCACATGCCCCACGCTGCTGCACTTGAGGCATTGGTGGTTGTCCATCTTGGACTGCCACTCCTCACGAGTCATCCCCATTTTCTCCCAAGGCTTCCCAAATGCAAGACCGGGATGCTCAGGGAACGAGCGTGGCCTCCTCTTCTTCTTCCATTGGTTCTAGCCCCCCTGTTGGCCAATACGACAGTGACATCACCCTTCTCAAATTCACTGTCGTCGTTACCTCCTCCTCCCTCAGACTCACCAAGAGGTAACTTTTCTATTGTTTCATCGTTAAATAACACACGCATATGGTCCTGGCGCTTTTGTCGCCAAAGGACCCGCTTGCCATACCCACCAACCGGTCCCGTCTTAACTACTGAAGCATACGTACCTTTGACTTGTGTGGTCACTTGCTCTCTCTGAAGAGCAAGGTCACGAAACTGCCGATAATTATACTTACCAGACTTCGACTCCGCCACGAGCTGTCCACGGATGGGCTCGGGCAAAGCTCGTGAGTAGATGTACAAGACCTGATTGTCCTGTAAGTTCAGTCCAGGTATCAGTAACAGACGGTCAACTTCACGAGACAGAGCATCAACAGACGTCCAGTGTTTCTGGCCTATAGTGGTGAGTTCGTCAAAGGCCTTGTCGGCCATTGTCTTATCCAGGAACCTCTCCTTAATCTTCTGGAGAAATTGCCTGAGAGAAAGGGTTTTGGCCCACGCACCAATGTCTTCGAAGCCAGCAGCATTGGCCTCAGCCAGCACCCACTCCTTAGCCACTCCCCCCAAACACGACGCGGAGAAAGCAACCTGACTCTCTGGCTCAACGGGTGCAGTTCCGACCTAAGTCTGGATTTCGACAATCCATAGCAACAAGTTTTATTCCTTTTTGTTGTTGTACATGAATGGCAACTTCATGTTGACCTTTTCCTTTTTCTTAGGCTTTTCCGCTTCTTTCGCCGGTTCTTCTTTCTTTCTGGTGGGTTCTTCTTTCTTTCCGGTGGGTTTTTCTTTCTTTCCGGTGGGTTTTTCTTTCTTTCCGGTGGGTTCTTCTTTCTTCTCAACTGTTTTCTCGAGCTCTTTCTTCGAACCTTACAGTTTCTCGGGCGTGTCCCGTTTCATGGCATCCTTCATTAGTTTCTCTTGGGGTGGTTTCCTCTCTGCCTCCCCCTTCGTCTCCTCCTCAACACCCACCTTTCTTTTTCCCTTCACTAGTCTGGTCATTGTTTCCATTGCGGTGGTGTTGTTGTCAATCTTCTTTTCAAGATGCATGAGGTACACCATAATAGACTGAAGAATGGATGCAACCTCACTTCCTGCTTCTTCGTAATGAAACTTTTCTCTCAACCCGTTCATTACTCTTTCTTCTTCTTCTTGCTGTTCTTTCAGTCTTCGATACTCTTTCACTTTCCTTCTCTCTTCTCTCAATGTGTTCTCTAACTGTCTGATGTTTTTCTCCATCACATCCACACACAATTGTGGTTCTCTCCTTCCAACCCTTTCTTTGTTTTTCTGTCCAGTGTCCAGGGGTTCTCAATTCCACTCTATCTTCATCAGCAAAGACAGTGAGAGGGATGAAAAAAAAAAAGAGGGGTATGAACCGAGTCAAGATAGAGTCATGCAAACACTTCCAAAGAGAATTCATTTTGTCAAGCGTGCAAATGTCGCACAATAAATAAAATTAAAAGACAAAAATAAATTCCACGACGCACGCAACTCCTACAGCAAGAATTGTTGAAGGCAGGGATAAAGAAATAAGTATTAACAATTTTCTTATATTGTTTTGTTGTTTTTTCTTCCTAATCTATGTGTGATGACGTTCTACCGTATACGTGCAGGTACCGCAACCACGACCAGTGTGATCAAGACAACAACACAAGAGCAAGTATGCACAACATCCACAGACAACCAACAGGTAAGTAGAACCAACATATAACACAATCAATGGTTAGCTCTCTTCTCAATCATCTGCAACAACAGTACAACCCAAGTGCACATTCACACTTTTAACAGTCCTTACACATGCCACGTGTCACCCCTGGCCTGCCAACACAGCAACTCAAAGAGTCTGCCACGTCAGCAGATCAGGTACCCTGATAGGTCGACAAGGAGGGATGCCACGTCACAGTGCAGGTCTGCCTTCCACCAATATACCAAGTTAGCACATCAGTAGCAAGCAGTAACAGGTACGTGCCACGTCATACCATGCCCTGCATGCCACATACAACGTGCCACATCAGCGGTACCAGCACCACGTCAGCCTGTTGCCAACGCAACTCTTCAATCTTCAGCGTAGCCTTGACATCATCTTCAAGGGATGGCTGCTCGCAAGTGCACTATTACCGTGGCTAGACTTGCGGTATGACCGCAAACGTTAATAAACGCGTTTCATATTGCACATGCGGCACCTCCCACTTACCTGGGTGCCACGTCAGCACCTGACAGCTAGCAGCAGATCGCGATGAAGAGTTGCTCCGTTACCAAATTGCAATGAACCCAGATCGTGAAGACAAGCATCAACAATGCAAGTCCAGAGTGTCAACCAGCTGATGATTACCAATAATCAAGATCGTGTCCAGACAGAATGAGATGAGATAATCATATACAGACGAAGGAGAGAGGAGGGAAATTAGACAAAGGAGAGGAAATACAATGCCCACTTCTGCTTCGGGCTCCCTCCTCAATCACCACTTCAATAGTCAATAGTCTGAACTAGTATCTGAAATATCTTCAATGTGCCACGTGGCACGTCTTAATCAATCCCTCGTCAGCACTGGAGCATTGTCGATATGAAGACCATGTACGTATTCACGATCTCTCCACAGTCCCGATCTTCCTCTTCCCTCGCAACCAGTCACCTCATGAAGACAACGTGGACAATGCCACGTCAGACAGGTGGCAATGCCACATCATCAATGGAGACCAATAGCAGCGCCATGTAGATCGGGAGCAGCGGCACAGCCAGAGGCAGCGCCACATCAGCATGCCACCATTGCCACGTAGACCAGAGGCAGCGCCACATCAGCATGCCATGAAGACCAGAGGCAGCGCCACATATACCAGAGGCAGCGGTACATTAACATGCCATGAAGACCAGAGGCAGCGCCACATATACCCAAGGCAGCGCCACATCAGCATGCCACCTCAGCAGCCTGGCGCATAGTGCCAGCGTGCAGCCTCCACCTCGTGTCGCCGTCCGCAACACTGATACACTGCCCGCGTCTAGCCAGCGTCGCGCTAGCATAATGCCAGCGTCGCGTCAAAGTCAAGCCAGCGTTGAACCAGCATAGCAAGACTGAATGCATGATCACCTCGAGGCCAGACTTTCAGTAGTGTTTGACGAGGGTCTCTGGCCTCGGGTCTCCTCCTCTCAGTCGTCCAGATTGAGTCACAGCCGAAGGCCTGGATTGTACAGTTGCAGAATTTCCCCTTGGACTTGATGTTGTCTGGGTACCTGCATACAAACAAGTGTGTGTGCTTGACCGGCGGCCTGGACTGGGTACCTTTGGACCTTGACTGTTGGAATCGCGACAGTTGACAAAAGTCAACTGTGGCACGCCCAGGCCCTGAATCCCTGTGTGGGGTCCCTTACCTCATTTTTGGCCTGGCTGAGGGCGGCCAGGTCGGCCCTCAGATTTCTACGAGACGTATGGCATGGGTTATTGCAATTGTATTTATACTATTTTATTGCCATTTTCAGTTGAAAAAAAAAAAACAAACGAAAAGATAAAATCTCCGAAAAGGGATGGTTATTTTTTTTTCTGGTGTTGGAAGCTGTGTTGCCGCGCGTTTCGCATTCATGTTTTAAATGCGGTGAAAGCGCGTTAAATGAACACGACTAAATGCGTTTGACTCATTCGCGCAGGCCCCCGAACATGTCGGGGGAGGTGTCTCTGACTCTCTGGCGCAGGGTTGAGGGCTGGGGCCCATGTGTGTGTGTGTGTGTGTGTGTGTGTGTGTGTGTGTGTGTGTGTGTGTGTGTG